ATCATTATATTTTGTGTAAAAATATGATTTTATTTCATACCTTCAGCATCTTCACATTTTCCTCGCATTTTTCCAACCAATTACAAACCACTTGTTGCAAATTTTGACATTGAAATTTTGGAAAATTTAGGAGTTAGTTATGATCGTGTTTAGAAATACGCAATAAAGGGTACTGGATCGCATCTTTGACTGCAGGAATCATTCCACTGCATTCGGGGAAAATGGATTTTCCTCTATTCTGTCATTAGAAAAAAGAGAGTCCCATTACGTTATCGAAAAAGTATCAGAGTGGAAGGGTAGGGTGTCATCAACCCAATGGACCTTTTAGGTTTGTCTTCCACACTCGATTTCGAGCCAAAGTTATAGGCACTATTTCATGCGCACAGAACGAACGTGGACAGATGTGTATAGTGGCAAGAGGCGCCACTACCCAAATGTACAACCCTGGGTCAAATCTCAGATCGGCTGCCGTCCAATCGAGCTCTCTACAGTTCGCCATTTCAGTGGCGTATCTTCGAGAGAGACGGACAAGACAACCGTAAAATTGCGTTCATACTTTGCGGCAGCGTCCACTAGCGTTTCGAGCGTCCGGCAGCGTCAGCGACTGGGAAAGTATAGATATCGATCTAGCGTCTGTCAGCGTTCGCCAGCGTCTACCAGCGTCCACCAGCGTCTCGAGGGCTAGGGAAGTATAGGTATCGATCTAGCGTCTGCAGCGTGCACCAGCGTCCAGCATCCGGGAGATGAGAGTATGGCGCGATGGAAAGGATACTTTGAAACATTGCACATGGTCATGAAAGACATTGTACATACAAATACTACCACCCTTTATCCTTTATCCAGAAACGGGGGAGTTTAATCGTCTGAAGATCACCTTGTCATGATCGATGAATCTACAGGACTTTTTAGTTTTGGAAAAGAAAACAAATCAGCTTTTTTGTCCTTCTCATTCACGCAATATGGTGCATATGTGAGCGTTTTTTGTTCTCGTACTTGAGTCATTCAACTAGTGCCGTATTCTCCATGGTAACAGTAACATTTGCAGTCAGTCAGTCAACACCAAACCTCGGACTGTCACTGAGGATCGCTCTCTTCACTGGATGTAAGTTTAGCTGTCACTATACTTTATTTATTATGTTTTCTGTATTAAGAACAAACGATCAATGCTGACGTGCGCTTTGCACTTAAGAGGATACTGAAGACCAGAAGGTGAACAATGACTTTCAAAACAGATCACCGTTATGTAAGACACGAAGCCACATCTCGTAAACACGTACGATTAACAGCGAAAGCAGATCCAAGGCAAGTCATAACAACGTTATTCATATAGTTCTTTTCTACCTATATCTACCGTAAATCCGCGTTCATCTTCGCCAATGGGCGAGTCCGCGATTCCAAGAATGAGAGTGCATTCGCTACTCTCATGTCGCTCGGATCGCGCGATTCCAACTACTGCGACTGGAGCATCGTCACAACAGTCCACTGGTTAGGTCGCACTCATACTTTGCGACACTAAGACTGCGTTCTTACTTTGCGGCAGCGCCCACCAGCGTCTACCAGCGTCTCGAGGGTTAGGGGAACACAGGTATCGATCTAGCGTCTGCCAGCGTTCACCAGCGAGCGGTAGTAGCGAATACGGGCAAGTAAGAGGGTAGCAAACCGCTGGATTAGTCGTCGTGAAATTGCGTTGTGTGCAACCGCACCGCGCAACTGCTGAAGCGTAGAATCATGCAATTTAATGCACGGTGCGTTTGCACACACCGCAACTGCACGACGCCTAATCCAACTGTTTGCTACCCTCCTACTTCCCCATACTCTCTACTCCCGGTCGCTGGTGAACGCTGGCAGACGCTAGATCGATATCTGTGCTTTCCTAATCGCTAACGCTGCCGAACGCTCGGAAAGCTAGTGGACGCTGTCGCAAAGTGTGAATGCACCTAAATGAAGAATAGGAGAGTCAAGGAAAAGGAAAGTGCTCGCTAAAGCAATAGGTAGGAATCGATATTCTCTCCTGTTCTCCCATTCTCCCAACTGGGCAGAACGACATCTAGACCTTTATTTGGCGCGCATTCTCCAATTCTCCAATACCGCGAAGTGTGAACGTGGCTTAACCGGTGTATTGCTGTGACGACGCCTCAGTCAACTGTTAGGATCGCGCGATCCCAGTCGCGAAGTATGAACACACTCCGCGACACTCTATTCTCTCGCCTCTGCTCTTCATTTAGAGGTGTGTCGCACATTCTCCAAAACAGAAGATTCTCCTGATCGATACATCTATTTCCTTTTTGACGATTCTCTCGCGTGACGCATTTTCTCGAGTCGAGAATCACCACAAATCGCGGACTCTCCATATCAAAGTATGAACGCGATCTAAAAAATTGGGCAAACACTGCATACTTTGGTGAAGAAATCGCAACCCATGCATGCATATCACTATGCGCGCGATGCTAAGTAGAAATTGAGAGATAAAAGCATAATATCTATCCTTAGGCCGCAAATTAGCCTTCCCGTAAACGTGAAATAAGCCTTATAATTCTAGGAACACACAGAAATCTTTACACCGAAACTCCTAATAAGGGCGAATCCCAAAACGTGGGACCTTGAGGGGCCTCTATTCCGGTACTGAATTGTAAAGCAAAACGGCGAACACAACTATAGCTGTCCCACCAACAAAGTACGCACCTATGAAAACGTCATTGAAAAGGAGATAAGATGTAATCACAACCAGAATAATGGAAACTGCAGAAGCAAAACTCTTGTGCAAATTGTCCAAATATTTCATCACCAGTGAAATATAAGTGCCGCCGAAAGACAAGAAACCTGAAAATGATTGGGATTTTGAGGACAAAAGACTGGTTGACCAGTTATTAGTGCTAAGGGAAGCTTCACCTTCTAACACTATATGGAACACAGTGAATAGATGATGAAAGGAATGACGTTTTCCTTTGCTTCTTACTAGGGAAGGTCGTCAGGTCGAAGTGGCCATTTGTAATGAGATGTAGCTCACTAGACGTGTTTTGGACGCTGATCTCGAATCTGCCTTCGAAATTTGCAGAAGCGATTTTCTGAACGGAGTTATGGAGCTTTTTTCCACCGCGTTTACCATGCAACAGGTCGTGGGATCGGATCCTTGCTGGCTTAACTTTTTTGCTTCTTGCGCAAACGTGGCAAAAAGTGGTTGTGGCCGACACTACTACATTAGCGCTCTCCTTGGTTTGCCTGAAAAAGAGTTTGCGTTCGCTTACTTGAACTGGGCACGTTATGTGCCTTATCTGTCAGGAGAAAAATTTGTCGGATCGTAGAGGTTGGGCCGCTTGGCGCGCTAGTGCAGACGTTTCGCGCTGAGCGGTGCCATAGTTCGTATTATTCGGGGCGCGACACTACGTCCTAGTACGAGGTTTCTTAGCCAAACCTGGCAGTTTGATCCGCTTCGAACAAAGAGTTATAGTTCTTGTCACTTCTTACGCATTCATGTTGTTACTGCTCCAGTTTTCCTGGTATCTAAAAGCAAATTCCGTCCAAAGACAAGCAATCGACAAGAGACTGGCCCTGGAACTATTGGTGAGCATCTTTCAATCAACTTTTCAAAGTTAGGTCAAAGCCTCACATCTGGCTAGAAACCTGTCCCCGAGGGTAGTTTTCCTCCCTGAACACGAATAAGCACCCATTTGGCGTTTGGGAGTGTTTCCCAGATTTAGAAAAGATTCCCCACAAAATGCAAAAGAAGACCAACTTCAAGTAATTCGCAATCTTTCGTGACATACCTGCAAAGTCTAGGAACCACTCAAACGCCTGCAAAGCTAGTCTATTACCACTACACCATACTGCTGTTGAAGATAATGATTTTTCTGGTTATTCATGCGAATTGGCTGGCAACCCCGCTCAGCTCCGTTTTCCTTCATTTTAGTTCTAACAAACCTCATAATTCCTTCTAAGAATTGTCTGCAAAGTCCGCAAGGCAGATTATACAATCAAGCCGTGCCAAAACTCAACGTTAGCCAGCGTTACTCAGTCGTCATCTCATTACAAATGGCCACTTCGACCTGACGACCTTCCCTAATTAGCAACCTGCTCACTCTTTTCAATACCTTTATAGAAAGTACTGTTGATAAAGGCAAGTAACTCGTACAAACTTATCTTTCTGAATCTTTTTCCAGACATTCCCAGAAAAGGATTTCCACTGTTTTAAACTCCACATATGGCCAGAGGTTTACTTGTGGCTGAGAAAAGACGTGAGACCACTTTATCAGAACGCACAAGCAGTCACTTTGCCACAAATATGTTTACTCTTGATGCCCGTCGGCGTCTTCCTTAAGAATGAATTCATCATCTAATTTTCTACCGGATCGAGACTAGCTACCACGCTCCGCATATGCAAGTGAGGAAGAGTTTTGTATTGATATCTGGGTTACTTTCCTTTTAAGACGAGCATGGAGAAGGCACTCGGGTATCACTACCCTACAACCTCGTTCCCTTGCACTTCTGACCGGAGAAAGTGGCACGCAACCGCAGCTGCGGACCTATTCTCCCCACCACGCGGACCAGGATCCATGGAGGTGAGAGTACAGTTTGCCTCCAACTGGCTATCAGAATCTACCTGGCTATAAGGAGTAAAACCCACCAACTATGGCGCACACCTTGATATCGTACCCGTGGAAGAAACCACGTTCTGCTATCAGGTCACCGTCGGTGAACAAACAACCGATGAGAGCGCTCACCTAAAGAAGATTTTCAGTGGCTAGTGGTGTAGTTCAAGAGTACTAGCTCAGTAATGGGATCCTGACTAGAAGTCTCTTCACGCTGCTATCATCACACAACTATGAGTAAGGAAGGAAAGCAAAGGGAAAGAACAGCAACTCGACTTACCATACCACAACTGTACATCTGAAGGTTGCGCACCCAAAACGGGGTTGAGCCACTTCCCTTTAACATCATTTCGAAGTAAACACCTTAAAAATAACTCATAACAACAGTAGATTGAATGTACTTTTCCAGAAAATGTAACAAGTCGCGAAGGAAGTAGTGATCCGATCCTAAGAAAGCGGTACGTTGACTTGTCTCTACCACACCCCTCGAAAGTTGAATGGAGACAAAAAGGGTACAATAATGTAGAACCAAATGAGAATCTCAATAAACCTCAATAAGGGACCTGAAACTATAGTAGTGTCGTCCGGCCTGACTACTCGGTCAGATGGGCAAGAGAATCGCAATTTGCCGCTCCGCCGCGCGCGGCAATGAGCGTTTTCTTAACTCGTATTAACCTGTCGATTGGAGCACCAAACTTCATGTAGACATTCATGACCATTTTCGGTTCTGAATTGCCTGTTGTCGCCATCTACTACCTGGAACCATCGTCATTTGCGGGCGCGACGTCGCACGCGACGCTTACCAGCGCGGCGAATTACGATTCTCTTGTCACATACCCGACTCTCTATAGCGGAACCAGTGATATTATAGCAGTACGTTTGGTAGTTAGTTAGACAGTAGAGCGATTTAAGGTCGCAGTTACCAAGATGAGGAGGGAACGGTTTTTTTTCCACTTCAGGAATTTACTTGGTTTGATTTGAATAGAGAAAGTGCCATCCTTAGGCTGTAGCGAGGAAACCTTTAGAAAATCAAGTTCCGGAATAGAGCTCACCTGCAAATCCGGCTGTAACGCACGTAGCCAGAACGGCTGAAATTCCTATAAGGTAGTTTCCCCTTTTCTCCTGATTAGTGTCGTGGGTGTTGTTGAGCTTAAAAAGAATAAATAAGAAACAGTTGAAGGAAGGAATGGACCACTCCAGAACTCGTAGTCAAAATGTTTCTCCAGGGCACGAACCTGCACGGCGGCAACGCCAAAGAACAGAAGGATAATAGCAGCCCATCGCGTTCTAGAGAACTTTCGTCCAAGGAACAACATCATAAATATAGCAGTAGTGAACACTTTTAACTGTGTGGTGACCTGAGTAAGAGAACATTGAAGAGAAGCCCGGTAAGGTACTATTACAACCTATATTGCACCTGATATAAACCGGCATCAAGGTGAGAAAGTGCGATGAAGTCCAGATTATTTTGAAAGGCATATGCGACTGATGGGACGCTCATCTTGAAAAGTTCCCGTGGGGCATCCAAGTAGTACTTTTGAATACACTGCAAAGAAGCTGATTATGAACACTGTATAAAAACACAGATCGTCTCAGCTGATGACGCAGACAAACCCTAACCGAGATTAAATATCAGCAACGTGATGCTATCAGAACAGTGTCAAAGAAGAAAGCTCGAGACCGTTCCGACGGGTAAATTTTAATACTGTTAGCGTTCAGTGAGGAGCCACTCCTGCTAGTTGCTTCACAGACTAGCCTTTTGCAAAGCGCGCTGAGCCTAAACTCGCAGCTCCACAAGAGTTTGGATATCGTCGATAGGAACAAGCAAAATGCCCCTTCCAATGCGACATGTGCCGTCTGGTCCCCTTAGACTAAGGGCAGAACTCCAGAAGATGCGACATACTAGAGCACCCCTACGCACTGCAGAAAGGTTTTACGTGGTTGCCGATCCAGTGATTTGCCTCACCAATTGAGACGGGCATTTTCAACAGGGAATTCGGGCAATTTTGTATGAAGGCGATACATTTGCAACAATATAATTATCGTTGACCTCGTTACTCATGAATACACAACTGGACTTGCTTCTCAAGACAGTTCCTACCACACTCAGTCTTTTCGTTGGCCAGGCGATATCAAATTCCTGCAGGCTGAGGCTCACTGTACATTTGCCAAGTGCTATGGGGAGCACTACCATGCGGTGACTTGATCAGTGGGCACACACTACAACTGAGCGGCACTATGAACAAACAGGTATTATAAACCGACACGTCGAACCTTTCGCAAAATAGCGACTCCTCCTATAAGCTCCTCTTCTGGTGCGACCTCCCTCCCGTCCTATCAACTGTCTTCCAGGATTCTCCTAGGTTTCTTTTCCTCCCTAGTTTTCTCCTAAAAATTCTCTGAACTTCCCCAAAAAGCCGTCGAGGGTGAGGGGTGCACCACTGGAAAATTGAAGAAAAGTCAATAGGCGAAAACATTATAACTTAAAGGCAAACGAGACATCTCCTCCCTCCAGCGACCGAATACGACTTCCTCGCTGGATATTCATAATATACGATGTGCTCTGATTACAAATCTTTGGGCTAAATCGGCCAGAAGAGTTTCTTATCAGAGTTTCCGAAATATAAAAACTATTTTCATTGTTCAGGAGGGATACCGGGGAGATGATGTGCCAGGGAAGAAAAGGAAAAACGAACAGACGATCTTACCTGTGCAAAATCTCGGAATCTATAGCGACTCTCCCTGAACAGCATCAATAGCGAAAGTGTAGCTTTCACAATCTCCGCCATGAGGACCACAGTACTAGCAGCATACAACTGAAAGGATATCTTCAATAGGATGATCAGCATTGGTTATAAAGCAGAGACTTTTCCAGAGCCACGCACGATTCTGTACAGCCGTGCATTTTCAGCAACCTTGTCTCTTCAATGGAACTTATGCGGATTTCCGCAAGAGCTAAAGTAAGCAGAAAGATAAGTTCTGGCGAAACAAAACCTGGAGTAGTTCAAGACTAGCGCGGCTACGGTCGCGAGTATTCAAACGGAACAGAGGCAGAGATCCATGTATAAGAAGAGAGCTGGCGCGCAGTCGTCGTCATGCTCACACTTACCTACCTGGAAACTCCTCCTATCGCCCTCCGATGTGGACGCGTGTATAAAAGTAAAAAGTGAGTTCCCCCGTCTAACATTTTCGTCAACAAGACAACAACGCTAATGAATTGTTCACTTGAGGAAGCTTGAAACGATTCGTGTTGGCATTAAAGAGATCAGTCGACCAGTAAAAATCGCAGCAGTACCTCGTTTTTCGGCACAGCGGTTCTTGTATACCGTACAGTGAGTGTGTAGCCAGTCCATAACCATGTCATCGTTATGATAACGTAGGCTTTGAAGAGAAGGTCATGACGGTCACTTTCCCCTGAAAATGAAACGTTTCGCATCTCATACAATTCCTTTCTCCGCATTGATACATCCAAGGTACGGATATTGGAGAATTCGAGAAAAGAATCAGATATTATTCTGTTATAATTATCATTGAACCAAAGCCTTCTCTTAAGCAGAGAATCAGCGAAATTGATCCGTATCCTTCCCATCCGTTCGTGAAATCTCCTGTTCTCTCAAGACACTCACGCTGCGTTCATACTCTGCGGCAGAATCCACCAGCGTACGGCAGCGTTTCGAGCGAACGCCAACACCAGCGAGCGATTAGGAAAGCATAGATTTCGATCTAGCGACCGCCATCGTTGAGCAGATCGATAGCTATTCTTCCCTATTCCCTCAAGACGCTGGCATCCACTAGATCGATACCTATACATTCCTAGTCGCTGGCAGTGGCGTTCGCTTGAAACGTTACCGTACGCTGGTGGACGCTGCTGAAAGTATGAACGCAGCCTTAGTGTGAACGTACTCCTGTCGGTAGACAGGAAATTAGATCGATTAATTACTTAAAAACGGTACATTGTTTATGTTGCACAGCTGACAAGTACGATTCCTCCCAGGAACTTTGAAAACGACCAGGCCGCAAAAATGGTAGGTTACAGCTTGGTAAGTGCAGTTTCGCAATCAACCTAGAGCGTAATGGCCACAGTTATATAAACACATTGATGTGAAGAATTGAACATGTTTCGCGGAAAACCAATTCTTTGTCATAACTCTTTTAGTCTGTCTACACCTGAATTTTTTACAACTTTCGGTCGAAGGGACTGATGAATGTCTAACCTTTTGAGAGGTTCTCACTCGATATGGACATAGGCAGAAGATTTTCTTTAGCATCGTCATCGTTTGCGCCCATATGGGTGACGGACCTGAAATCATCGCATGAGGATATCAGCAAAATCTCGTCGATCAAAGAGCAAGAACGAAAGCACGTCAAACTAAAGCATAATGCGACACCCGCTAGGTCAGGATTCAATAATATCTGGTAGCACGACCTGGTTTCATCAATGGAAACACCACAGAACAATAAAAGAAAAGGTTCGAGAGAGATTCAAGGTAATTATTTAAAATTTCCGCCGAATATAGGGCGAAACGTACTGTGAAAGTGAAATCGTGTAATCACGACCAAACGACAGATATCTTACGTCAAAGAAACAGGGCACATCGTTGGTTGGGGAATCCCCAACAGGGGGTCGTATTTGGCCGCCAGGAGAGGGGGGGTCGTAATGAGTGCGGTAGCCAGTAACGAGCGTCAGTGTGCTGAGTACTGTACAGCGAAGCTTGCTTTGTAGAGAACTCGGATATGTAAAAAAAATAGTTT